TTGTTAGATTTACTACAGTTGTAGATCGAAAATCTTCGATATGTATTTATTAAATTTTCATTATAGCCTCAGATTAAAAAGTTGTAAAACACGACCTTTAATATTTTCTTCGCAATTCGGACCAATTGCAACTTTTTCAAATTTTTTTTCACATCATTTAGTAAATTAATGTCTCTAACTTCACAAAAAAATTCAAGCCATTGGACCAATTTTAAAAGAGTTGTTCCGTTTTAAAGGCTGTACGAATACTTTTTACACTGACTGTATAAGGTTGTTTGGCTAGTAAGTTGAAGATCCTGGGATTGACTCCCGTTCACAGAAATGTTTTTGTTTTACTTTGCCAACTCAACTTCTATTCATAATGTATCTCACGGGGTGGTAACTTTAATTGTTCTTATCTTGAAAATTAACAGTATCTATACCTAATACATCACGTATATCATTAGGAACCTGTATACTATTATCTTACAAAACCCCAGTTAAAATCGAAGGCGGACAATTGGGAGTCCTTCTCTTGTTAGTACCTTACAATTTTTCCGAGTACCATCTAGCAATAGATTGGAAAAGCATGGATTTTGGACGATATTTATTGATATTAACACATTTTTTCTATAAGTAAAGATAAGTTTACACTTTTTTCGCATCGTTTAAAAATCAAATCATTTTGATTGCATTATATGTATGTACTTGAATTCATCTTGTTTTGAAAATGAGTGACGAGAACATGTGCTTTCCCTTATTGTACTTCTGGAAAGGGAATAACGCCGAACGAACGACAAAAAAGATTTTCTATGTGCATGATGATGGTACTGCAAGTGGACAGAAATCAAGAAGTATGTATAATCGCTGGAAAGTATAGGTACCCATAAATCTTCTTATTACTCATTTTCCAAATGAGGTCAGTTAAAAAAAATATAAGCTAATCATAATGATTTCCTTTTCAAATTACACATTGATGTATGCTTTATTAGTTAGAAGCAGTGCTTTTTATTGAAATCAGAGCTTCAGAAATCCAATGTTACTGTTTGAGCAAACCCAATACTGAACAAGAACAATGTCATTATTCAAGATGGAGTTGTGTAAACCCTTCTTTAAATAGCAAGCAGTATACATAAATAACAGTCTATTAGAGGCCCTCAAAACCCAAAAACCCATTAGCTAAATTGTAAAACAAAAAAATGTTTCGTTGCAAAGTCGTTGAGTAATTAATAATTTTTCTACCACAAAAAATTTCAAGTCGATTTTCTGAAAATTTTTATCATTGACGATGTATACTGTCAAGTTCATGTGTTACATTTACATATAACTTTTACTGTACATAGAAGAAAGAATACGCCAGTAGCTACAGTCGGGTCAAGATAACCCCGCGTTCACTGTACGAGGGTTAAGGCACAAAAGGCAGACGTTCCAGACAGAACGCTCGGGTGAATCGTCGTGTTTCGAACGAATTACGCGCCGACTTTAATGCCGCTTACTTGTTTAATTTGGTTTGATTCAGCGCCTTGATGAGCGAGAAACGGGACTAAAGAGAAACGGATGTTAATTCAACACGATCGCTGCCAGACGAATGCTTTGCTTCTTGTCTGGCTGGAAACATTGAAGCCAAGACTCTTACTAATCAGGGAATGCGATGAAGCTCTTTGTTAAATAGAACCGCCCGGCTACATATTTTTGTCCGTTGATCTTTGGTTGTTGAGGCTCGTTCTGTCCTGAAATGTACTTTTGCTGACAAAATATAATATTACAAGATTAACTCTTTACTGCTTAAATTAATTATTTACTGTTAATCAATACAAATTTTGATCTTATTAAAAGGTGTTATCTTTATATTATATTGTTTACTTCTAACCAGTTGAAGACATGAAACTTAAATTTTCAATTTTGAAGATATGGTTTAGTGTTTTTTTAAAAATAAGGTTGTGAATTTAAGGTCATACTGGGAGTAATGCATTTACAAGTGTTTTATACATTTTTTTCTTTCAAGTTACATTGGTTAACTGTGGAATGGTAAGTTTACATAGCAATGATAAATTGGTATGTGACTTCAAAGTTACACGGGGCAGTAGAGGGTTAAATGTGAATTTATTATATGGACACGAATCTTTTTATTGTTCAATGTACGTTTTAATTTTATATAGTTTATATACTATATACTTTATTTACTATGATCTACTTTCAGGCAATTTAAGAAAAAATAGATATGTTTGCGTCACATGAAATGCTGAATTTGGCTATTAGCAACATCTTCTGCATTTATTTAGATTTATTAAATATTTTTGTATACGTAGTCTATTGTATACTACCTATACTGTAAAAATGGATGGTTTACAGTTTTCTAAACTTTTTTATTTTTTTTCTAACATTTTAATTATCAATCAATATACTTTCTACAAACATATAACTAAATTGTACTCTGCATAATATTACAAATATTTAGGATGTATTTAATACTTTTGTGGCTGACTGTTGCTTTGAGAATCATTCCTTCTTCGGATGATACTTCCTTGGATAGTCTATAAATGGACACTTCGTTTCATGTTCAAGTGAAACAGAACAAAACGAAAGTTTGACAAACATCTGGTGAACTCGGGGATAAACGCTCCGAAATCAGAATTTTACGAACATCTGGCAAATATGTTGAATTCGTGAGACGTCTACTATTGGTATTCCTGTGAACCATCAAAGGATACGTCGCGCATATGTTACAACAAGTGCAGACGTTTCAAGAAAAGCGTCTGAAACATTTCGTAAATAAAATATGTAGAATTTATGCTTATTATTGAAAATAAAAGACTTCATACATATTCCTCAGTAATTACATATGCTGTTCTACTGGTTAACTGCTTCTTTATCAACGATTTCGTAGAAATGTGTACACTCAGGTTTACAGAAAAGTTCATTCAATGTCTCGTTCGAAGTATTTACCGAAGTATAACACGTAAAGAGAAAGAAGGAATTAATTTTTCTCTCTGAAATGCTTGGCTAATGACAATCTCAATGTTGGAAAATAAATATGTGTTTTAGTTTACTGCTAAATAGCCTCAATGTCTTTACATTGTAATCGAAGCATGACAAAAAAGTAGTTATACAATCAATAAAGAAGCAACATAATGTTTGATGATTGAAATTGCGAATAATTATTACCGAAGGTAGGTAGTTTGCAAACAGATGGTAGTTAACCGACTTTTTGACGTATATTCAGAGCAAAAAGTAATTATAAGATTATTACGTTACATTCAGTGCACTTGAATCTGGAATACGCGAAACTCTCTTATTCGAATGCTTTACTGTTAGAAGGTTCTACTACATAAACAGATTTTACACCACTTCGATTTTATTGAATAATTTCTGGGTAATGGGAAATATTAATTCGGCACGTAAAAATGTATTCCAACAATAATATTGAACGTTACGGGTATCAAATTCGATTTAAATGAAAGTTACGTAATTCGAAATGTGAAAATCATATAATCGAAGTGAAATGTTAAGTTGATTTCATTCCGTAAATTTGGATTATTAATACTAAAAATGCCTGCAAGGAAAAAATTTTATTGTAGAAATAAGGAGGATTAGTTCAGGAAAAGCTATGAATGTCGCGTTGACATCGGAAAATACGTCCTTTCATTCGGTTGCTATAAATATTAACAATAATAATAGTAATAAATATTCATTAATGATAAAGGATACTATATTTCGAGACAGACCGGAATACACAGCTCCTAAAATATGTATATAACTGACGTATTTGTGTACTCTAATTTTTCATCATCTTACACGTCTTTCCTATCGCTTTAAATGTTGCAAATCACTCGAAAACTCGTATATTGGTTAAATAATCGTTTCCATAAAGTTATTTTAATATTTCATATTTCTGTATCGTGGTTTTATTTATTATTAGTTCAGGACAGAGCTCCATACAGGTTCATTATGCCACTGTAAATTCATGACAAGGTACGATATACTAGCGAGGGAAGGTACCCAGATGTTAAATTAGTTCCGAAAAAATAATGATTGTGATTTATAGGATTTCTAAGAACTCAAGTAAATGTTATTTGTCCGGAAAATTCAATAACGGCGAGAAAAACGGAAAAGTTCATCATAAACAGCTCTAAAAAGGGATATAAATAACTTTCTTTTTATAATTTTGTTGATTTTATAAGCAAATTAAATAACTAGAAAAGAAATGAAAAATATCAACATGGGGAGTTTTGTCCACCTCGACCATAGTGTCCACGTTGTTGATTGGGGCAAACTTCTAGGATCTTCTGCGCCCTCAAATTTAGTGAACTTGGACCTGCGTATCGTTTAAACACGGAAAATTGATTTGGACCTTATTTTGGTGTTTTTACTTCGTTTTCCACTAATTATTTCATTTATATGTGTCCAAAAAAAAAAAATATATATATATATAAAAAGAAAGTTTGTATCCGTTTTCAGAGCTTCTTATAACGGACCCTCATGCCATTTTTCTGGCTAATACCGAATTTCCCAGATTAATAACACTTATTAATTTTTTTTAACAACGTTTTTAGAAAGTCGAAAGCTACAACCCCCAACCATTACTCTTTCAAAACTAATTTAACATCTGGGTAACTTTCCCTGTAAGGTATTATCACTCCTACCAATATAACTTATGCGACATACGTTTAATACTTATTACATATTGATATCTATTGCAATGAACATTAAGCTTCCAAATGCTATCCATTGTGCATGAATGGCACTTCTATACAAGCAAAAAAAAAAAACGAGTCCCAGATGCTTTCATGTGCTTGTGTATACGTAGGTTGTATTAATCTTCCTCAAGTTCTTTCAACTAAGTTGATCGCAACGCTTTCGAAAGTTTGATCGCATCGCTTCCGAAGACCAAAAATCTGAATGGCTTGCACCGTAGTCAGACACGAGTAATCACACGCACATCCCGGTCACTGTGCGTCACTGCTTCGACACTGAAGGTGTTGTCTTTCTGCATCCACCGTATGTAATCGATTTACTTGCAGATCGAGGACGGATTCGGTAAGATCGAAGTCCCCTCTGACGGCGTCGCCAGCCTCTCCAGGACCACTGTCGAATTCCCTCCACGGCAGTTTCCACGGTAGTTTAGGAAGCGATGGAATGTCTTACAGCAGCGCCAGGTCGTCCTCGGCGTCACCTGATTCTGCAAGATGCTCGTCGACACCGGTAAACATACCAGCCATATCGACTAGCTATAAGTCGACTGTAAGTCGTTAGTAATATCATATAATTTCTGATGTGTTCTTACTAACGCACAATACACACACACACATACGCCAACGTAAATCGATTCATGGATCTGTTAGAGAACAGTGTTCAAGAATTTGACCTGATTCATCCAAATCGAAGTAGTGTTCTCGATTAAGGAGTTACATACCCTTGAGCTGTTAAATAAGACGGAAAATTAAAGAATTTGTTTGTGTACGCAAAATTATTGTTTATTAAGAATTCAGCATATACATCTGTGTGATTGGAACCTCCATACCCAACAAAAGGAGCACTTAACGTCAATGGAAAATAAGAGGGCTCCGTGGAGAAGCATGTAGTGTAGAGTTACTGATCGAAGCCAAGTTTGAAAATATCAATATTTTACAAAGTGGTGGCCGTTTGAACGTAAACTTATAGGTTGTGACATAAATTTTCAACCTCGTTTGTTACTAAGAAAAGAAAAAATGCACGAATAAAAAATTTACTTCGTCAAGTACTAGATATAATCTTAAGAATATTACCACAATGTTTCATCCAAATTGGTTCAGTAGTCCTAAATATTTCTGGTATCGATTTTGAAAGCTGCATTTTGAGTAAAATACTTTTAAATAGCAGCCATTCTCTTCTGTTGATAGATATACATATAGCTCAATCTTTCAGAAATTACTAAGGAAATAACATATACTAAGATGTATATTTTGAATTTTTAATAAACAATAATTTTGCAGATACCAAAAATTTGTTTAACTTTCCCTCTTATTTAACAGCTCAAAGGTATATAACCCATTAAAAACAGGTCAGGTTAGTATAGGTCCCATGGCAACGAATATAGGGTGATAAAATAAAGGGTCAAAGACTTTAGGAGCTCATAGTACTCACCGAGAGGAGTAAGAAAATATTAAATTACCATACTTCCTATAGCGTCTTTAAGTATAGGACAGACAGTTCTTTCAAAGGAATCTGATATATGGATTGTCACAACATGTTCCTGACTGATTGTGAGATTAAAACTAAATTTTCTGAAAATCTTTTCCTGAGAGGTACGTGGTTTACAACAATTACCTGTACAAATTTTACAAACAACTTTATACTCCCTCAATGAACATTGTACTTGTTCTCTTATTTTTAGTAAGACATTTCATAGCTTTATAGATTTTTCTTGAATTAAATTTACTTGTAATATTCGATAGTCAACGACGGGATTATGATTACTAGACTGCAGATATTATTGAAATATTTACTTCCATAGCTTATTCCATAAAAATTAAACTTGTAGAAAAATTTGTTTCGTTAATTAAGCAGTTTCTTAAGTTAAAAGTTCTTGTTTCATTCTGTTTTACGTAGTCGTATCTGCTGTAGCACTAAACTACCGAACGTACATCTATTTCTATCGGACATAAACATGACCACCTTTAGAAAATACGCGAATTTTTAAATCAACTAATTTCTTCATTTTCATATTGCTGAGAAAATGCAGTGTTGTAACATTTTAATTATCGTTATATGATTGTAAACCAGTAATTCGAACTGCTTTCGTGGTGTTAGTGTTAAATGTATAAAGTCTAATAATTATTATTCAAAATTATCTTACATTTCTACAGTGGTAAAATTTGCCCGCTTTAAACATTATTTCTTTATGCTGAATAGATTTGTATGAGGTATTTGACAACAGGGTTTAAATACATTTTCCGTTATCGTAGAATGATGTATCGATTTATTTAGACGTAAACTATGCTTAGCCAATTGAATAATAGCATGTAAATTAACAAATCTAACTTAATTCAGAAATTTTAACAGGTGAAAGAGTCAAATTGCAATTGATTAGGGGGCGAAAACATTCCACTTACGATTGCGAAAAGTTATTACCACTTGCGGTTGAATGAATTGGAAGACCTTGGAAGCAATAGTATTCACCTTTTACTATTAAAATTCAGCTATGAATCATTTATCGAATGTTATGTTCAAACACTGGGACAGCTAAATTTAATGACTAGGACGTGCCGTAAATTCTGTCCTATTACTCGGCCAAATGAACGCTTATAGATATTCATAAATTTTAATACTTCTTTTTACGTGAATACTTTCTTATAACGACTTGTCTGGAAGAAGAAGTTCTGCTCTATCGATTAAATGTACTTTTTTGCCAATCTATAGTATTTTAATATATAAAAAGTCGTCGTAACCGCAATCTTCGCCTTAAACGTCCAACCAGTGGGACATTTACCTTACTCATAATTTGTTAGACATTTAAATTAATCTTATCCACAGGTTTAAAAAAATGTTGAGTTTAATAAATAGCAAGTGCGCAATAAATACATACAACGAAGTGATTACTTCCAAGAAACTGACAGACTGGTGCAACAGAATATTTACACCTGTTCGGTAACTGTTCGCGAACATTGTTTGTCATATGCAGACATACGCAGAATTCATTGTAGTGGTACCCATAGTTTTTTTGTGAATATCTCGGAAACTTGGACTTTCCGTCGATTATACCTAACGAAAAAGTTGTTCAGAATCATGCCCTCGACAACATATTTAAAAATCACTGAAATTATCGTAGGCTGCTATATCAAAAACTAGCCATCTTTTAAATGCATGGATCAATGCAGTTAATTTCCTGTAAAATATTAGTATCCTTTTTATACCGAAAAACTATTAGTTTAAGAAATATTTTAATTTCAAAATTACATACGACGTGTATGGACGTATTTCTGAACATCAACTTTATGACGGTAAACATCGTATCGCTAGTACCACTACGCTAATTTTTAAATTAAAATCATTGCAAATTATGCCCTCGTCGAAACTATTCAATTTTTGTTTGAAACACTTTCCGGTATCACATTTAATTTCAGACATTCGAGGGGATCGATTTAAATGGGGGGATATCCTGTATAAAAGTTCTAACTTAAAAATATAAAAAGTCATGTAAAAACCTGTCCATTCTGCAAAGGCTAATGATTCCAAAGGGAATCCTACAGACAAAAAGGGTTAAAAGAAACACACCGTGGAATGTAATGTCTTTTAATTTAACCGGCTACTGTTCGAAGTAGTGATAGACACCATCGACTAAATTAAACTATCGACTAATAACTATTTAGTCGCAACATACTATCGACTATTTAGTCGATAGTTTTTAGTCTACTGAAATTTTGCTTTATAGGTTATGTATAGATTATGTCGTCAACTTTTCAGCATCATTGGTGCATTTACCTTTTAGAAATGTATTAGTTCATAGATAGAATTTCAAAAATATAAGTGGGAAACGAGTTTGTTTAAACAATTACTAATATTCGATTTTTTGTAAGCTATTTAATATTGACACTTAAAAAATTAACTGCTCTACATATTTTATGAAAATCAATTAGGTTATAAGCAATAATTTGCCCAGTTCTTCGTAATGCATAAAAAGATATATGAAAAAATTGCAATTGGTTTGCATCGCGAAGAAAATAATCAAGATCCAGTCAATAGCGATCAATAGCTCGATAGTTCGAGCGAGTCGCTCGAAGCGACTAAATTTAATCGACTAAAGTAGTCGCTTCAAGCGACTAGTATTAGTCGCCTGAAAGTAATCGCTTCAAGCGACTAATATTAGTCGACGGAAAGTAATCGCTTCAAGCGACTAATATTATTCGCCTGAAGTTAGTCGCTTCAGGCGATTAAAGTAGTCGACGATTGAAAAAATTAGTCGACTGAAAATAGTCGTTGGTTACTATCGACTTAGTGGATAGTTTTTAGTCGATGATGTCCATCACTAGTTCGAAGGGTTAGAGCTTGGAGTATAACTCATAGTCGCGCGTTCTCACGTCAGTCACACGTGAGACGTTTACCTACGTGAACGTATACGTACACGTAGTACGCGAGCGACATTAAGGTACGTTGCCATCTGTCGATGACTCAGGACCGTTCCCTTTTCGAGAGACACGTCTGAATGCTCGTGCATCGCCTCGGGAAATCGTTACTCTCGCAACGATGACTAATCGCCTTCGAGAGTCAGCTTCACATGCTCCGGGGCCCAATTTTTCTCCCGGGGTATAAGTATGTATGTACCACGGTTTAACGCTCCGTCCGCGCTGCGTTCCCGTTCGTTCGGCCCGGTTCGTTTTCTATTTATTATTTCGTACTCGTGTGCAACACGCTCGCGTCTGCGACAATGTACACCCGTGAGCAAACTCGGCTTCCATTAGGGGAAAAAGTGGCGTAAGAGAAAGGCCTCCTACCACTTGGTATTTGGAATTACTGAAATGTATGCCAAATTAACATTCGATTTAACATTTATTTTACTATCTGGAATAAATTTACCAAGTGGTAGGAGACCCTTTCCTTACGTTATTTTTTTCCCTAGTGGAAGCCGAGTTTGCTCGTGAGTGTACAACCGTGGCTGGTTCAACAGAAAGGATTTTAAATAGACGTGGCAGAGCGTGAACGAGCATGACGTCGCTTCGTTTAATCTTTTTTTTTTAGAATTGTTTGAGACACCCGAGTACATAAATTCGCAATTAGAGCAACGACGCTTTAATCTTTGACCGAGCGGGTCGGGTTTAATAGACCCCAGCCTAGAGTTGGGCAGAATTTTATTCGAATAATACACCGTGAAAAGCAGTAGTATCTAAGGGTGCCGTTCTGAGCTTTAAACAGTTAATGAATTTAAATAATTGTTCGACAAATGTCGATCCATTTATAAAGAATTATTATTTTATTATAAAACTTGAAATTTCCACGTTTAAACAATTAAAAATGACGAAATATTTTGTTTATCTTTTATTCGTTATTCGAAATTTTGTGTCTAGATAATTAGTTTGCCCATCTCTGCCCCAGCCAGCTTTAAACGTTCATAACATTGATATTTCAACCGTGCGAATTATGTGCTATCGAATAAGGCTCATTCCACGCGAAGTCGGACACTTTTTGGAGTAACATTTCGGATTTTTTGGAAACTTGGATATGTTACAGTTTTTAGTGATGTATACACGTATGTGACAGGATTTTTGAAAATGTTAAGAATTTTTTGATTTCACAGCTGTTTGAAATATAGTGTCAATCTTTTTTCAATAAATTGTAACTGTTGAAATAAAAAACTCACCAAAATGAGCTTTGTGGGTGCTTAGAGTGGGGACATAAGAGTACTTAATAAATATTATTTCAGTTGAAACAAAATATTTGTTGTCCATTTATCTTGAAATTGTTTTCAAGAAATGCAAATTTTATAATAGTGGGGCACTATTATAAATTTGAACAAAAATCAGGATATAGTATTATTTGTCCTCTTTATGGTCAAATTTGAAAAAATATGGACAATTCAAAATTGGCTATGTGAAAATTAATTAAAGTTAACGCTGCGTCGAAGCACACGAATTTGGCTGGCCGAGCCATGCGTTACAAGCAGTGTTAACTTCAATTATTTTTCATAAAACCAGTTTGAAGTGAACGTGTTTTCTTTCAATTTACCCATTCTTTAAAACCACTGCAAAATAAATGCTTAAAAAATTTTTTTTTTAAACTGAACCAATTTTTCAGAATTAATAATTTCACAAAGTTCACTTTGATCAGTTTGTTAGTTCAGCAGTTATGATTTATTGAAAAAAAGTTAACACTAAATTTCAAACAGCTGTAAAATCAACAATTTAAAAAATTTTGAGAAATCCTTCCAGATACGTTTATATAACATTAAAGACTACGTACAACATATCCAAGTTTAAACCAAATCCGAAATGTTACTCCAAAAAGTATCAGACATCTCACGGAATAATCCCACATCGATATGGAAGTGACGCCTATGGTGTCTTGGCGTTTTCCCGATTAAAATTATACCAAATATCACGTAAATCAGACTATTTGTTGATGTTAGCTTTACATTATGCAAATTAATTATTCATGTAATTTTGTTAATTATAGCCGGAATTGTGTTATTTTTGGTATTATTTTCATTGGAAAAACATAAGGAATCGATTCACATAATTTTCGTAAAAATCTAAGGAGGAATGCGGAACATGGAATTTTCACTTCTTATATCTTAGACCAGTCACAGGTTAAGATTGATTTTTACTATCCGTGCAGACACGGAACGGTTACGGGACGGTTCCGTTTAGACAAAGGTACTTAGCGTTTATACTATCAGTTTATATCCGACATCGTCAAATATAAATAAGTAGAACATTCCTCCGTCTGTTATAGTGGCTATCGTTTAGTAGGTAATATTTTCATATTTATCCCTAAAAGACCTAACTCAGACCTGCATAGCATTAGTATCAGATGAAGATAATAAGAAAAAAGAACGTCTTTATGTTGTTCATAAAATTCTAAAACAGAGAAAGACTTACAGAGAATTACGAACACTGAGAACCAGTAGACGAGGAAGAAGAGTTGTATAATATTTCAGGATGTACATATGTGCATTGAATATTTTTTTCGAAAAAATAGACAATTTTATTTTGAAAAACAGTATTCGACAAAACATTCTTCGAAAATGATTTCAAATGCATCAAAGAATATTTGCCTGAACGGAACCGTCCCGAAACCGTTCCGGGTTTGGATGGACAGTATAATATGTACATGTCCGTGGATTTAGATAATTATTGAACCGTGATAAAAATGGGGGATCGCGTGTTCTTTTACTGGATACTATGTTAAAGTTAGTATCTTAATCGGTAAAGTTTTACAAGAAAAATCTTCATTAAATCTTGTCAACTTACTTTCCCGCAAAGAATGGTACCACTATTAGTAATACTTTAATTCCCAATACACCCAGTATACTAATTAGACCAATTTGATTTCTTACAATTTTTTCCTGGCACAGAGATACCGCAAACTGTCTTGACAATTCACGGAAATCAAGTCGCAAATCCCCAGTTACTGCACCTTCACGACTATCCACGACCTGACATCGTAATCAGCTTAGTATTTCAAATCGCGTTTATGAAGTACTCGACGAACTGTTGCTCGATATTTCCAAGTAAATTAAAAATACGGTCACAAGTCGGTCGATACAGGGCTCCGTTGACAGAAGTATCTGAAGTTGGCACTTTACCCGAGCGTGAAACCACATCTGGGGGCCAGTCGGTTGAAACGAGAATGTTCAATAATCCCCCGTAAATATTAAAAAGCAGACAAGGAAGAAAATTGTTAATTGCACATCATCCAGGTCTGACAGTTTCGGAGCCGAAGGAATCGCGGGAGAAACTCGTGACCGGAAGTCCTCGCGACGCTGAAGAACGCGGGGCAGCGTTTTCACGATAGTTTTGTGCTTCCTGACTGTCGTGCTGGAGAGATGATCGCGTTCCGATAGGATGATGGGAAATCGTTTCTGCCAGTCAGTCTACTAACCATTGACTACTCCGTGTATCTAGGTTATTAGGGACGCCATCGACTTTATTGCTGCCTACACTCTGCGTTGTCGCGTGATTTTTGTTTTGACCATGACGCGTATTGCAGGTGTACGTATTTTACCTAGACGTGAATGCGAAATGATCGGTGAACCGACCGGTGGATCACGTTGGCTTTCACCGTTTTCATCTTCGAGGCATACATACAGAGCGTTGGAAAATTTAGATCTATAATACTTGACAGTTTGATAACATGATTTATTTATAGGCTATAAGATATATGTCCCAATTACTGCCAGTGTCCCTAATACTGCCACTTCATTTACTTCGCATAATAAAAACGTAACGTATACAGGATTGTGTAAAAAAATTTTAATTACTATATTGGAACTGTGATTTCCATAAAAACAAAGAGATACATGTACTTGTATGTACCTGGTATTTCAAAAATTAATGTTGAAAAATGTCTGTACCATTTGTATGTCAAGAACGCGACTACGTAGGTAGGAAGTGATGGCGAAATCATACTAAGGAAAGAGCCGTAATTTCAGTATTCGACCTATATTTATTGTATGAAATGAATCGTTAAAGTATATCAGAAGTACTTCGATTTTTTAGGTCAGAGTTGTAGGGACACTGGAATTGCTCGCAGATTTTAAGTAATTATTAATTAATTCTTCCGATTTAATGTATGAAACTATTTTTTTCAATGAAAGAAACGAGATGGTGGCAGTAATTGGGACATCTACCTACTCTATTATCCCGTCAAAGAGAAGATTTTACGGAAAGAATAGAAGAGTATTTGTCAGAAATTATTATTGTTAGTTGTTTTTTTTAGGGAATGAATCTTCTTTTTAATCACCAACCGAATTCGTATTATGCATTATAATTACTGTACGATAATCATCGGGTATCTTTGTTTTCTAGTGTCGAGGAATTGTGATATAATTTCAAGTTCCTTATGTTAATATGTTGTAGGCAAAAGAACGTTTTGTAATGAATCAGTGTGGTTATGGAGATAAGAATTGGAGTGACTACAATGGAAACCGGTTTGCATTCGCAAATTTTTATTTAAATAATTTCTTAGATACAAATGATTCGAAGAACATTTCAGGACTGAATTTTGTATGAAATTTGTGTTAAAAGAGATAAAAAACCAATATTTTAAAAACTTAAAGTGATCTATCTTGATAATTTGGTAAGGGTGAATTGATTTTTTCTGCTACATAATTACGTCGTGTGAAAATAGATAAATATTTTATCACATTCTTGATTTCTTGTTTGTATGTTCTAACATTTCTTGTATTCTGCAAATTTCTGAAAATAATATTTGAAAGTCGTTTTCATTGTTTTCATTCTCAAATACTATTTTGAGAAACCTCTAGGTACAATGAATTTGTACCTGTTATGTATTGAAATTAAGGATTGCTCCGAATTGAGGAAACATTAATCTTTTAATCGATATTTACATAGCATTTTTTGAAGGATTTATTGAATTTTATTTTTCATCATAAATCCTAAATCCTTTTTTAGCACAGTATGTTCTAATTAAGCCGTTTGTATTTGATACAAAGTTAAATGTATATACGTGTGCTTAGAAGGAATAGAAAACACAATACATGATATCTAAGAGTTATATAAACTTCCCATTCTAATGGACTATTGAATTCATTTGCGAAGAACCTCTTCTAAACATTTTTTTCACATTGTCAGAAACAATGGAAGTGTTTAAGGTGACTGTGTTAAATGGAACAGCCCTGATTTGTAGCTTATTAACATTGACCTGTCAACTGGGTCATTTCTCGATGACAAACGCCATTGTAGGCGCACTTAGAACTTCTAAAAAAACCTTGAGGTACATAAATACAGAAACAAATCACTTAATTAACATATTAACAAATTCACAAACTTTCCTTATTTAACAGATATATTGTACATTCGGCAGAATGTTTAACATAAAACTTGTAGTACTAATTTCGGCGTTGAAGTGAATACACGCAGTTCTCGATCTATTAATGTTAACAACGTTTTATGTATTATGCGACATTCTCTCTGTGTGTTGTAGATAACAAAGACTGACACACGTAAACCATCTGTGCGCAGATTGGGGCCTCCGAAGGAATTCATCAACGTTTGTCTTGAAATGCACAATTATTACCGATCGAGGCATGGAGTGCCACCTCTTCGTCTTAGCAAACAGGTTGCTCCTCTTTCGCAGTATAACATTATACAAATTTTAATTTAAAAAGAATTTTCCGTTTCACGGGAGAATTTAATGTATCCGAATCGTGGTGGGTAGTGCGACTAGACAATTATTTTTTAAGAAGTTTTGTGAACGGAATTTTTACTGCTACAAGTTGTACTACTCAGTACATCGCCGATGTTTATGCTTTCGTAACGTATTTGAGTGTGCAAAATATTATAAAATTGAGCCTATAAAATGTTTGACAAGATAATTTATGTTTTTCCAACGTAATACAACCATTGTTAAAAGAATGAAATTCCTACTCGTTTATGGTTTTCAACGTTATCGTTTACAATTCTCTGTCTAATCTAAAATATAGGAAAGTTACTTTTATAAATGGTACAGTACTCATGATCGACATAATTCTATAGATAATGTTTATCAAAGAGAGTAGATCGGCGGAGAAAACATGTTGCCTCTCTATAAATCCTTTCTCTATCCAAATAAATTCTTTCTTCAACTGAACTAGACTAACGGCTGCAAGTATGAGAGCAGGTTTCGCGATTAATGAAAAAGTAAAACATTTTCACGAGGATTTGATATATCTTATAGAATCAGTAGGCGTATGAACCAGTTACCTACACTTGCAATAAAGTGTAAAATATTCCGTTTAGTTTTCAACATTCTATTAATTTCATTAAATATTTGTGGAATAATTACGAGCCTTATCTCGTGTTTTCGACTGATACATTATACTATGAAAATTAGTAATAGTTTAGATATTAATTGATCTCATATTAATTTCCAGTTATGTAAAACAAGTCAAGATTGGGCCAACATACTGGCGACGAGGGGTAGGCTAGAGCATAGGGCGAACATCGACTACGGTGAGAATTTATACTGCATGTGGAGCTCCAACCCAAAGACTGTTGTCAACGGCGACGAACCTGTAAATGAATGGTAGGTAATTTTCAAACTTGTGTAATCACTGTACAATTAAAATAGTTTCAACCTCGATGCTATACAGTTGGTGCATAAATCACATTAATTTGCCGTGAGAGCATTGGTCATTCACAGTCGCAATCAGTGAAGCATCCTGTCGTGAGTTTCGCAGTACATATGCACAATCGAAAAAAATGAAAAAAAGTGTAAGAATATTATATACATAATATTTGATTACAACATATCTAAAAATGTAATCGTATGTGACATATTTTAAAGCAAGGAACAAATACAAGTATAATAAAAGTTATACAAAAATAAATATAAGTATAATATAAGGCATGTAACATCTACCAAGTTACATGCCCCTACGTAAGCCTAATGTATGCAAACCACATCAACCCGTGGACTGTCACAGTAGTGACAAATAGGTGGGGCTTATTTAATATAAAAAATGTTGTCGTTCTTCACGAAGCACACTGGCAACCTTCTTTTATTTTTTCAGTTAAATATTAGGGGTTGCTACCAGCCATTAAATTTTGTTTTCTTAAGGAAAAAAAATGCAATTTTCTTTTCGATATATTATGATTTTTTATCACATTTATTCAACATTGGAATATTATTACAACTCTTAAGAATAGTCAATCCACATTTATAAAAATTTATTTCGCAAATAATTGGCTATTAATATTAAGTTTATAACGTATTTATTTTTTTTATTATTAATAATAAATTATTGGGCTAATAAAGTCAATTTCCTAATGTGAGGATATTTCTGTCGGAATTGCTTAATTAAAGTAACAAATACTATTATACATACATATTCTATAAATCCGTTTGTCAGGTTTGCAGAGAGCCTCGGGTAGCAACCTCTCACATATTATGAAATATACTAAACTGTTACCCAGGTCCGTTTCTCAGTATAGAGAATAAAATGCTAAGCTACACAAGCAATATTTTAAAAGTTGAATTTTAAGCACCACCCTATTGTCACTGGCTGGTCAACGTGCGTGCGTCAAATCAGCCCCTAACTGTTACCTGCTGGACACGTAATAGGGTTATACCTATATTTAAACATTCTGATTTCCAGGTATGCTGAAGAGGCGCAACATCAATACGGAAAGGAGCCCACCACCCTAAAAACTGGCCACTTCACTCAGGTCGTGTGGAAAGACAGTACCGAATTGGGGGTTGGAATGGCGAGGAATCGGAACGGTGAAGTTTACGTTGTCTGCAACTACAATCCGGCCGGAAATTTCTTGGGTAGCTTCACGGAGAACGTACTTCCTCCATGTGGATCAAGCCCCAACAAAAAGACTAACTTCCTGCCGCGATATTCCATGGATGAACACGCGTGGCAACAGGAGGCTTTGCTCGTTCACAATGAATATAGGAGAAGGCACCGTGTCCCAGATTTAAGGCTAAACGCAGAATTGACAGCTGCCGCTAAGGTATTTTGATTTTTGTGACTCTTTAACAGGGGAGTCTGATGTAAACAGGTAAAAATGAACGTATTTTTGGAAATTTATTATGAAGAAAGTATTAAATCAATATCTTTTAAATTTTGAAAATGTTTTATTGTACAATTAAACCGAACGCAAACATTTTTATTTTCACAACAAAACCATAAATATGATAGATAGTCATAAGGACTTATGTGCAGCCAGTGAGCAAAAAAGGTGTCTCACGCCGGGGTATGTAACTAAAAGAACAGGGAACTAACTAACTCAGTCTTGCATGTACATATTCTTTAACATCTTCTTTACTGTACGAACCTATTTTGAAGCTAAAAAATACTGACATTTTAATAAAGGCAGCTTTTTTTTTTTAAATAAAAAATGCTGAAAAATATGATTTATTGAAACAATAAAATTATAAATGTAAGTTTATGCTGTGAAGAAGATGTTAAAGGATATATATGTTCATATTATACATACATGCAATGTCGGATCAGTTGGTTGAATATTTTTTTAGTTACATTCCTCGGCGCGGAATACCTTTTTTTTGCTCACGGACTGCAGAATGCACATAAGTCCTTGTAACTATAATATTTATGGATTTGTTGTGAAAATCAAAAAATTGTATTTACTTTAACTGTACAATAAAGTATTTTCAAAGTTACAAGGAGATTGGTTTAATAATTTCTTCCCAAAAAATTACCAAAAATTTATTTATTGTTAGTCTATTTACACCAGGCTCCCCACTTAAAATTCTGGGTCATTTAACTCTATGATAATTACACTGCGGAAGTTTAATTCACAATTTCAGATACTAATGTCTAGAAATTAAAATGAGACAGAGTTTTAAATTCTGTATTGAAAACTTTATTAGATTAATAATAATACACGAATACTATTAAACATTATTGGAACCTTTATTTTATTCCTTTTTGCAAGGACGCTATAGCATAAACATCTGCAGTCTAGTGATAATACGCCCCCTTCTTGTTCGCTATGAAGTTTTAATATTATGGCATAAGGGTAACGATGGATTACGAATTTTTCACTGTCGACAGGCGTGGGCGAACACGTTGCTGAACACGAACAAACTGATCCCGCAATCATCGTCTCCGTATGGGGAGAACATCTACTCAATGCAGTGTTCCGATCCGAAGTTAATTGTACCAGCACGGGAGGTGGTCTCGAAGTGGTATTCCGAAAAGAAAGATCACAAGTTTGGGACGGAGCCAAAAATCTTAAATACATGTATGTATTAATGCGGTATTAAAAGAAGTTTTCACTATCGAGTTTAATAACGGCATGAACAAATACATAGACTGATATTAATTGAGTTGTAATACGGCAAATAATTGCTCTAACAATTTCTTGTGCCAACACATAAGGAAAAGCAATATTCTTTAAATATATTATTATAAAAACATTTGACATATATTTTTCTTAACTGCCCTCGTCCGTGTTGATCCGAAAAATTAACAAAAAGTAGGTACTATTTTTTAAATGTATGTAGTATTTCCACAAATGGATTCTTCTGACATCTAATAATGCAGCTGGATGCCTCATAAAAAAACACAATATTGTCATTTAAACCGTTTTTCTGGCTCTAACAGTTTGAGATATTCGACCAAAATATATTTCACACCCCTAACCTTCAGGGTTGTTTTCATGCCTTCAACATGGATGATGATAGCTAACAAAAAATACGTGTTAAATATTTTTCTGGGAACTACTTTTTAACAGAGTTTGCCCTTCTCAGTAAATGAAAAGTGTGCTTGTAATTGGTAAAGCCATTTTTTACGATCAGTAATCAAAAAACAAGAAATCTGAAATTCGTCATTTTGACGGATTCGGTAGCTCTACTGTTATAAACTCAATTACCAAAAGTTTTGTGTGATACATATAATTGATAACTTATAGTAATTATAGTGTTTATAATTGATAAAATATAATAATTGTTTATGATCTGATAGGTCACTTCACGCAAATCGTCTGGAAGAATACCACAGATATGGGAATCGCAATGGCCAAAAGGGACGGAAGTTGCGTAGTGGTTGCCTGTTACCATCCAAGGGGTAACATTGTCGGTCACTTCACGGAAAACGTGTTGAAGTCAGTGAAGAGCGCCTATTAGGCCGCATTTCCATCAACCGCACAGTTTATAACAAACAATCGCGAACTTTCATGAGAACTGACTGTTCTACTGACATTTTTCATAAATACCTTCTTTATTTTATCTTAATAACAATTATGCGAAGAATTTTATACGCCTGATTAAAACTTATTTCATCAGAGGAAGACATGTTACCTTGCAGTTTTATTCTGTACCTTCTTTGGAAATGGGTTGGATTCTAAAATTTACCTACTTGTTGCAATAATATTTAATAATTAATATGAATGGAATGTATGATGTCGTGTCGTGTAATCCGAAGATCGATAGTTGTTTCTCTTCGCTGAATGCACATTATACGATTCATTTTTTATGTTCTGACATCGGTTGAAATACTTGAAAATTGTCAGTTAGGTTTGCGAATAGTTGTTTATACACGCATTTCGTATCTCCACCAAAGATAATTCATGTTGGCGGACGTTTGTTAACATCTGACGCGGTCGATGATTGTGCGACATCGTCTTAGTCTGTTAGCCGGACTCATCCAAGAATCTTGTCGATAATGTATTTAAATGCTGTATTTATATATCGTACATAGACGATGATACGCATAATATATGTATATAACACAAATGTGCATACACATAGAATAAAAACATTCCACGTACTACAGGTAATCGGAATCAACTCGTCTCTTTTCATTCGACATTTAGAAGCAGACCATACTGTGTCATAGAACAACATTAAATTATTGACGTGAATAACAGCGACGTATTTATGTATATGGTTTGTCCCAAAAGTTTTCGAATTGTAATTAAAATAAAAATTTTTCGTATTATATTCACGCTTTTCAACAGCAATTCTTTAAAGTAGTTTCTTTCTGCAGAGATATATATTCATCATAATTACACAAACAGTGAAAATAGCTCTAGTAATTCTCCTTCCAGATGGTGGAGCAAGTAGTTGTCGAAGCTCTGTGAATGTGAAAATGATTTTAGATTGTCGTTTTTTTTCTTTGTTTCCAATTTGGGTAACAAGAATTAAATGGTTTAATGTAGTCGAATTAGATGAATACGGTATATTAAACTTTGAGATACCTTTTGAAACTAAAATGTTATGTAAACTCATGGACTCGTGATATCTTTTTAAAAATAAACTACTATTAATAGTTGCAGAAAAGAGTATTATCATTTAAGAAGAAACTGCTGTTTTAATTTCGATCTGGAAATTTTGGGGTCAGACCGTGTATAGATTCATGTTACGTTTTCTTCGACCGAATTCTTGTTTAAAGCTTTTATATTATGTTAAATTCAAATTTATTTTTTAATAGGGAAACAAAATGAGACAATGTAAGTAGTGATGATTGACATAAATATTGTATTTATGAAAGATATTTTGATGTATAATTTGACATATTTGTAACAAATAACATAATTACATGACTTTTCTTTGAAATGACTTGATATATTATAATTAACTTTTAACGATTATTTGTATACGAAACAATTACCTAAGAACTGTTAAAGAGACTTTGTTTTAGTCATTTAGAGTTATATCAATTGTTGTAATTAGTTTTGTTTTAAGCGGCGATTGTCTCAACAATTGAATAGAGATGCAATCTGGAGTAGCATGAAAGAGTAGTATTAATAATAAAATCGGTCGATAACCGATCGTTCCTTCGCTCCTTACCTCAAAATCTCGCGAAATGAGAAGCATTTGTAAGTTTTTCTGACAATACTATTATCATTACGTCTGCGTAGTATACGTTGTCGAACACAGATATTCTTATAATTTATAAATGTATATTCAATATAGAATATCTTGTTTTCATTTCAACAAAAATGAAATAAATCATGATGAAAATTTCGATTTAACATTAGAAACTAAAATGTATGCATTTGTTAGCCCAGAATTTTGTATTTATCGAGTTGCATTAAGTCCATCCCACTTCCCAAATGAACTCACGCATGGTTTATATGGAGAACTTTTAATTCTATATACATAAACTAAATAATTAAGTTCAGGTGAATTAAAATTAAATGAATTCTATGATTCATAAGGTGCCGAATGTGGTTTTGTAGAAAGCAGAACGATAGCACGAAAAAAAGTGGACGTTTACTGGAGAATAAAATCATACCATTCACGTATCAATAAACGTGTTGTTGCTTTATAATAATTTATTTATAATAAATTTACATGCACGCGTCGCGTGACAACGTGTCACGTTATAGAATAGATATATAGGTACATTCTCTCTCTGCTTTTCTGTTCTTACTATATATTTTACATTACGTACAGCCGTCCGTAGTTCCTTTCGTGGTCGAGGATTAGCTTAATTTCTTACTTACTGTCAAACATGTGCTCGACAACATTGAAAATGACGGACCTACGTGGTCCGTTTATCGTGTGCTTTGATCTTACTTCGATTTTGACGAAATTAATGCAATTTCTATCTCAGTCGGTGCTCTGTCCTTGATCAGAAAATAAATGAGGAAGTACAGTTTTACAAGAAAATATCATAATTACGGTACGTACAAGTGTGTAAAATACACTGATTGTGAGACAAAAATTATATCTAACGCCCAACGAAGTTTTCATCCAATTTCATAAACTCTGTACTCGTTGAAAGGAATTTTTACTATCGTGTTTGCAAAATAGTCTTTGGATATGAGAGTTTCCATACACATCCTTGGTTGACATAGTTATACATAATATATTTGTACCTGTAACCACAACTGAAGTAGAAACATTTTTTTCCGTCTTAACAATTTTTTGCTAATTAATCAAAAAAATGTCATTAGGATCGTGAATAAGTTGGCAATTTACCTATAGAAAATTTCAGGTAAGTGTTAATAATGTAATTTTAAATTTATAAATTTCATTTATCGTTAAATTTTGTATTAGGTAAAAGATTTAAATATATAACTTTTTTTAGCTTTTTCGTGGTACGTAATAGAAATACTTATTTTTGTAAAATATTTTACACTTGCTACAATATTACTAACAAAAAATGAATAAAAATGGAAAAGTATTATAGAACATTGAATTTTTTTGAATGAAAATGATCGCTTGTGTAATATTCGTTAACATATTGAAATATTATATAATGTTAAAATATTTATACGAAAAGTATCACTAAATCAGTATCGTCGATTATCAAGTCATGTTAATATAAATAGGTCGAGTGATATTCCTCGATCTGTTAGTACATAAGGAACGCCATTAATTGTTAACGCAAGATTTGAAAAAAGTATTAATAATTTCATTTATGCAGCTACAATATATACGAAACGACGTACGGAGTTTCATTTATCTATAGGATTATATTTTCAGATAATTTTCACAAATATAGACAAAGTGTAATTTATTAATAACAAAAGTCAAGCTGAGATGATAAATAATTTTGTTAAACTGTAAATTTTGTTATACCCTTAAACAGCTGAAAGCATTGAAGTTGCCAAAAAAACATTAAATTTAACTTGTAAAAGTTGTATATAGCCAGTACTGCTTTCAGTTCAACAAATCTTGAGACAAACATGAAAGAAGAAATAGTAAATTATGGTTTATTTATATAATTTTTGTTTTAGAGATCTCGATTATATTGAAATACCAACTCGTAGCAGTTCTTTTCTTGAATTTAACTTACACATGGTACTACTATTAGATTAGTCCATAAGTTCGTGTATGTATTTTATGATGAAAATCTTTATAGAAAGCAAGCAATGTTGTTACTCGTAGATATCCCATAACATTAGGACATCTTGAAAGTTGAAAAATGTAGAATATTACGATTATACTGATGTTTAATGATCATTAGCATGAACTTATGGACTCTTTCAATATATTATTTTGTTAACCTATTTTGTCGAAAATATTTCAATGTTTTTTACAGATACATATTAACGAACGAAATTTTGTAGTTACAGTATGTCTTCGAATTTCGAGTAAAAAAACGTGTGTCTGTCGAGAAAATAGATTTTACACATTAGCAATGTGAAATTGGTCATCAATCGGACACGCAAAACGTATAAAGTATAGATTATTCTGTTCGGGATCAGAATGAAATAACCTGCGTCGATTTGTAAGCGTAGATTTGTAAAGTGTATTAAAAAAATGATCACATACTTGAATGTTTCGATAAAAGATTTTTGCTTTAGATATTCTCATCGTAATGGATAAAATTTGAAAATATTGAATATCCTTTCTCTGATTGGAAATGACTGCTGATTTGTAGGTAGGCTATAAATGTAAAACAGAGTGTATAAGATGTCAGGAAAATCTCATATTAATTTATTAATTTGTTAATATTTCATATTAATTAATTTCTAGTCATTTTTATTGGGTTCATTGTGCAAGAAAATACGTAACTGAATAATAAACAAAGCGTAATGTTAGGAAGTATTGTTAAGTAATTTTTAACATTTTCCAATAGTGATCATTTGTTGGTACAAACCTTTCAATTGTGGTTACTTAAAATCAGTGTTCACAACTGATATCTGTCGCGGTTACAGTAAAAACAAGAAAGAATCAATAAGTATAACAATAACGTTGTATACAACGCAATAAAATATTAATTAACACAATTAGTGATCATATAAAAATACAAGTAATATTAATGGCTCGAAGACGAATTAAATTTCTAACAGTGATAACATATATCAGACGAACAAATGAGTAATTCATTACTTTCGTTAAATTCACTATTCATCCCTAAAAACAGAATGACGTATAGTATATAATAAAAATATAATAAACGTATAGAAATCAAACATGGTAAAACACCATTACAGGGAATTACTCGAATCAGTACATGATCACTACATAGTTTTAATAACAAGGCAATTCGTTGAGCAACCTTATCAATCGAAAATCAATTCACCTAGAAAAATCACATTAAACGTCTAAATTTGTTTAACAAACCGAAATTGGTTGTTTATCCAAAGCAATTAAATAAAATTGAATTGCACGTATGTTTACTGAAAATAACAAATCGTATCGTCTCCATGTCGCAAGCTCGACAGTTGATCGTACAAGTT